CACATTTTTAGAAGTAAAGAGAGATTTTTATTATGTTTAAAACTTTTATAAATACTATAATATGTTAGTAGTATTTTAAAAAAATTTTATGTTCTAGAGATTTCTTAAGCTTCATTACTCGGACAAACTTAAAATCTCATCATTGGATAAAATTTTTTCTTCCTTTTTATGGAATCATTTGATTCTTTTTTTTTTTTTTTTAGGATTGAAATTTATTTATTCGTGAGAATAAAAATTACATTTTTCTAGTTGCTTTTTTTTTTTGTTTTTTCATAAATCAAGATTTAATATTTATTCTAAGGTCTAAACTTTTAAACGTGTATAAAAAAATGAAAACAAAATAAATAAAATAAAATAAATAAAGTAAAAATAAAAATCTTAAAATTTTACCCAAAATGGTCAGTCAAACCAGTCAATGATTTAGCAGGGCGATTCGATCAGTCTGAGATGGTCCAAGCTATTTTGGTTGATTTTTTGTTGATTTTCTATGGTTTAGAACAGTTTTGGCCAGTTTGAACTTGATTGGATTGGTTATTTGACTATTTAGATGGATTGATTGAAGGTTGATGAGAGAAACGGATCATTAGGTTGGATGTGCGAAACTTTTGGTGGTGAAACAACATCGTTTTAGCTCTTTTCTTTTTTTTTTTTATTATAAAAACCTAGTTTTTTTTAACTCATTTTTTCTCTTTTGCAAAAAAACTTCCTAGAAACTCTTTTAACTTCTTTTTACATACGTAAAATCTAATCAATGGTTTGTTACACCAGTGGTCGTACTTCGTCACAAATTGTCAGCATCGGTTGATGCTAACCAAAAAGTTCCTCTTTCTTCCCTATTTTCTTCTACCAACTTAGTTTTGCCCAAAACTTATCGTAAGGGCCTAGATTTAGCTTTGAAGCCTTCAGTTTTGAAGTCAAAACCACCATTTGTCGTCATGCCCTCAAAGTCTTCTTCTTTCACTATATTCTTTCTTTGACAAATATATTTTTCCTTGCCAAAAATGGAGTCTTAAAACCTTTTTCAAACACCTCAAAATCATACCCATTTTTTTATTTTTTATTTGTTTTCTTTTTTTTTTTAGCATTAAGGCTTTCCACCAAGAAACTTGTAGTTTTTTTTTTTTGAATTTTTTAGTTTTCAACTATTAGGCAGAAAGGCCTTTTTTTTTAATTTTTTGAACAGGTTTCAAAATAGGAAACTAAAGGGTTTTGTATAATTTTTTATTGTTTGGTCATGAGGAGGTCATAAGTTAAGGTAGTTTCATTAGGGCTATCATCATGGGGCTCCTTTTGGTAGAGGATGATGATGTTATGTTTTTTTGTGATGCTATGAGTTTGTAAATTGAAAAGTATGGTGGTTGTGGTGATGGACTAAAGAAAATGGCAGTAGGGTTTTAGGTTTGGTTTTGGCTATGACAAAATATAAGGGCTAGAGGTTTATAGTGTTTACTTGGTAGTTCTAATGAAAGGTAGCAAGGTAATAGTGGTTTTTGTTGGTGGACTAGTAGATTGTTGGCAATGAAATGATGGTGTTAGTGAAAATGGTACAAGAGGGCTGTCGATGGCAATGAAGGCAGTGAGGGTGGGAATCGTTTGGCTAAAATCGGCTAGGTTCGTCATGGTAGAAAAGATCGAATGAGGGTCATGGCTTTGGTGGTTTACATGAGGTTTTTTTTTTTTTTTTCTCTTCATGGGATTTGGTCGTTTAGAATTTTTCTTGCTCTCCCTCTTATGTTGTGAATTTTGGGATTTTATTAAAAAAACCTAGGATCTTAGTCTACTTCATTCACTCTTTTGTTGAGAATTTAATTTTAGTCTAAAAAGATTGGATTTTTGGATTGGTATTGCAACAATGGTCACTGCAATTTTGATTCTTGGGTTTAGATGGATTTATGCTATAATGCTAGAGGTGAAATTGTTGAGTTGAAAATGAGGGTGGTAGATTGAAGGAAAATGTGACATTTTTTAGAAAAAGAAAATTAATGAGAGATTTAAAATTGGCAACTGACCTTTTGATTTTTTTTATTTTTGAATTTTTTATTCATTTTTGAATTTTGAATTATTGTTTTTAGTATTATTTTAAATTGTTCAAAATTTTAATTGAATTGGGTTTTAAGATTGTAATTAGGCTTTTAATTGGACTTTGGGACCTAAACAATTACTTGAACTTATATATGGTCTTTAAGCTCAAATAACTCAAAAGTAAATCAAATCGGGTTTTAGTCCATGCGAAATTTTGAATTAGACTTTTAAATATTCAAATGCAATTATGGTTATTTTTTGACCCGACCTCATAAGGTCGATTTTTATTTTTTGAAAATCAAATTTTGAGTCGGGTCAGATGGATAATATTAGAAAAAAAATTTGGGTTGGGTCGGGTTTGTATTTTAGGCAAACTCGACTCAATCTGACCCAATATATATATATATAAATTTTTTTTATTGTTAATTTAATTATATAATTTTATATTTATATTTTAAAAATAATATTTTATTAATTTCAGGTTGAATCAGGTTGGATACGATTTATGTAGTATCAAATTGGGTCGGGTTTGGGTATGAAAAAAATAAAAAAATTTTGGGTCGGGTTAGGTTCGAGTTTTATAAATATAAATTTGGGTCAGGTTTGAGATGAGTAAAACCTGTTCCAACCTAACCCGTTACCATCCCTAAATGCAATCGACTTAAATTAAATTACATCAAATTTAATTTAAGCAATAGTGGACCATTTCAAATACCCAAACAAAATTAAGTGTCTACATTATATGCATGCTTAGTACTATTGTTTGACCTTATGATTTTGATTTTACAACCACTTTGATTTTCAATTCAAGTCTTGAACTTCCAAAACACAATTACAACTTTAGACTTTTGTTTCATGAAGTAAATCCAACACATTCAAGTAAGATCATCAATGGATACTATAAAGTATCTATTACCATTAAAAGATAAGTTCTCATACGACCAAAATGTGAACAAGTTAGAGTTTGTTTGTTGCTCTCCATGCTATGTTGACTAAGAATGGCAATTTGCTTAGTTTTTCTAATTGACAAATTTCACACATGCCACAACTTACTTCAACAATAGACATATTTAACACAATATCATTTTTATGCATGTAGTTTAATGTCTTCCAATTAAAATGCCCTATTATTTTATGTTATAGAACTGATTCATATTATGAACCCGAATATGCTAAAGAATTTTTGTCTTACCAATCTAAAGAAAAACATTTTCATTTCATGTTGACAATAAAAAGTTCATGGCTAGTGGGATCATGAGTTATGTATGCCTTGTCTTTGAAAAGAAAAGAGTAGTTCTTTTTTAGCAGTTGTCTTACACTTAACAAGTTTTAATTTATTTTAGGCACATATAACACATTTAAAAATAAGTTTGGTATTTGTTGGCATCTTGACAGCCACTACTCATTTTCCTTTGACTTTTATGAAGTCACCATTGTCTATTCGAACTTTAGAAGTATAGATCTTGTCCAACTCTTTGAACATGTTGATGTCAAATCCCATATGGTATGTGCATCCACTGTCAATAAGCCATGCACTTAAAGAAGTTTTAGTTGTATAGTGAGTTACAACAAAAACTTACTATTCTTGTTGTTGTTAACAACTCGTGCCTGCTGATCTTACTATTGGTTTTCGTTTTTATACACCTTTTTCATGTGACGAAGCTGCTTACAGGACCTATATTGTATATCAGGTCTGTACTAGTAATATTTTTTCAAGAAGGTCTTTTGACAATAAGAATGAGGTGGAAACTTGCCTTTTTTCCCACCATATCTAGAAATTTTATTTCTTCTGTGTCCATGCTTCTTGCCTTTGCCATCCACTTGTAATTTGCTTTTCTTCTTAGCTTTCAAATGCACCTTCAGTTGTGTTCTTTTGTCTGATAGCCCTTCGTTACTTTTACACTTGCAGGGCATTGAACAACTCAATTGGGGTGACCTTGATCATGTCTTTAGAGTCTTCAAAGCATGAGAGTTTTTATTCAAACCTCTTTGGTAAGCTAACAAGAACTTTTTCTATGATTTTATTGTCTGGCATTTCTTCCCTAAGTAATTTAATTTTGTTCACAATCTTCATGAGTCTATTATTGTACTCCTCTAAGTTTTATGAGTCATCCATATTTAAGACTTCAAACTCTTTTCTAAGATTCAACACTTGCATTTGTCTTATTTTGTCACTACCTTGGAATTCCTCCTTGAGCATATCCCATGCTTGTTTTGCAATATCACAAGTCATGATTTTAATGAATATATCATTAGAAATTGATGACTTAATATAGCTCTTAGCCTTGTACCTCTTTGTTATTTCTTCACTATAATTTTTTATTTAAGTTACTATTGGATTATTGGATTTGCAGGAAATTGTGGTTGTTCCTTTTTATTTTCCACCACTTCCCACAAATCAAAAGCACACAAATAGGACTTTATTTTGACAGCTCATATCTGATAGTTCTCATTAGAAAAATAAGAGATCAAGGTTAAAACCAACCGCTTGAGGCCATTTAAAGTTGACAAAAGCTAGTTGATAAGTGTTTGATGGCTTTTCACTCAATTTCAGTAACTTACAAACCTTCTAAGACCTTATAGAAACTCTGATACCAATTGAAGGATACAGAGCAAAGGAAGAATAAAGAAAAAAATGAAGAAACCAATATGGTATTGCAGTAAATTGCCTCACACATAATATGAGCTTCATTTCATTTATTCATAAGCGTTAAAATACAAAAGCTTATTTAACTATTACACAAGTTGTCTACCTAACAATATGCATCACCACACATATATCCATCATACTACCTAAACTGATAAAATAGTTAATAAAAGGCAGAACTAAGTTACCTAAATTACACATGTTGCAGTAGAAATGCCATACTTAGTTGCTTCAACTGTTAACAAGATTCTTAGGAAATACTGCATACTATTTCTTTTATTTATGTTCATTTTTGTAATTTGCTGTAAACCTCTGGATAAGCTTCCTTGCTAGGTGTTTCAACTTTCTATCATCAGAAAGAACTGCTTCCAACCTCAGTTCTCACAGATATTGGACTTCTTACTACATACACCCCGTCTGTCCAAGTCAGGCTTCCGAAGTAGTATCCGGCATTTACGTTGAAGGCAGATGAAATCATCACAGAGAAGGAGATGGTCTTCGTCTTAGAGTTGAAGATCAATGTTTCGGGTCTCACTGTTATATTTATGCCAGATACGAACTCAACATTGGCCTTGTATTTGGAGTTAAGAGGTCCAACATTCGTGACTGTTCTGGTAAGAGTTGTTGTCTTTCTGAGGCTTGGGATAGTTATGGATGGGAGGTTTACGTCCAGAATAGAGGGCTGTTTAGCGGGGCAAGCTATTTCATGTTCCGTGAGCTGGAAGATAGCAGAGTCATTGTAGCCCATGGCGCAAAGATATTTAATATAATCCTCTGTATCCATGTCATAGACTAGGCCAGGATCTGCTGCACGGTTTGGGTTTACAATTCCACCTCCAAAATCAAAAGGATCAGCAAGCTTTGGTGGTTCTCCCTCAGCAAAAATTGGTCCTCCAGATTGATCGGCAGTCATTGCTGCAGTTAAGAGATCAAAACAGTTCAAGAAGGCAAACAGGTGAAAGTATTTTGCAAATATTGAGATTCTGGAAAAGTAATTTAATGGATGCACCAGTGGTGACAATTGCTGATTTAACAGCAGCAGGGGACCAATCCTGGTGCAATGATTTCAGCAGGGCAACAATTCCTGACACATGGGGAGTTGCCATGGATGTTCCTGAGAGAAAAGCGTATGCTTCATTTGTTGGTTGATCAAAGGGAGGGATTGCAGCTAATATTTTAACGCCTGGAGCCGCTATATCTGGCTGTGCCACACAGAGATCATAGCAAACTCTGATGAGTTTTTAGCAGATTGATATCGCAGAGAATCATTTGGATAGGAGGTGACTAACCTTAAGTATAGCAGGGGCGTTGGAACTGGGCCCTCGAGATGAGAAGTACGCCACATTGGTTGACACGGGCTTGCCAATATGGGTTCTTGACGGGCTCAGTCTTACTTGGGGATTGCTGCACAGTTTGACAGCAATGATCTTAATAGCTCGTAGCTCATAGCTATAAAGATATGACGATGAATAGAATGTATTAACTCTACTAGCAATGGCAATTGGCAAGGATGACGATTGTACCTTGTGGATCGGATGTAATAGAGTATCTGAGTTCCAGTTTCATAGGTTACTTGAACACATGGGAAGTCAGTAGCATATGAATAAAAGTAGTCACTTGAACTCCTAACGATAATCACTCCCAAACCACCAGCCTCTTTGACAGACCATATACCTTTATCTAACAAACTCTGATTGTAGTCTGAAGCAAAGCAAAGCACCACTTTTTCGGCCATCCAATCATCATTTGACGAGAGAGATTCACAATTACTGCATAACCACTAAGTTAGCTTTAGGTAACAGAAAATAGAGTTGTCTGAAGAACGAGGCTGAACAAGGTTTTGTTGAATGAATGAATCTATGTTACATAGAAACAATCTAATCCAAGGATTAAAAGAGTGTAATGAACTTTAAGTCGATATTAGAAACATAAAAAAAAAAAAGGAACTATGCTCATTGCAATTTGTAGCTATATGTACCGTGAAACCATGAGATCTGAGACTTCAGGATACACCAGTGTTGCAAACACTGTATCCTCTCCAGTGAACATGGCTTGACCCTGCAATTAATACTTAGCTGTTAGTTGAAATCCAATAAATTGATGTCCTCACCCTCTATTTCGTGTTCCTCATCTGTTTTGTTGCTTACCATTATGCTTTGGTTGTTCCCCAGCATAATTGGTGTGGGAAAAGACCGGTCTAAAGAGCTTGCTGCTACAGTCAAAATCCATGGTGATGTGTTCTGTACGGTTTGAGCTCTTGGACCTGCATTCCCTGCTGCACAAACAACAGTAATCCCTTTGGCCACAGCGTGAAATGATCCAATAGGAATGGAACCACGTTGGTCAACCTCAGAATACAAAGGAATATCAGCGACAAGAGACACTGATAACACATCCACACCATCATGTATTGCTTCATCAAAGGCTTTCAGCACATCAGCATCGGCACATACTCCTCCATCCAAACGCCAACACACTTTGTACATAGCTAGCCGAGCCCCCGGTGCACCACCTCTCACTGTCCCAGGACCTAGCCCATAATAGCTGACATTGTCCACAAAGGAGCCACCTGCAGTTGAAGATGTGTGTGTTCCATGTCCACCTGGATCTCTTGGGGACATGTAATCATCGTTTTCACTGGAGTTGTATGGCTGTCCATACTCAGCTTCAAGTCCACTGATAAAATAACGAGCTCCTATCAATTTTCTGTTGCAGGCTTTTGCACCATCGAAGTGCTCTCCTGATTCACAAACTCCCTTCCACCGAGATGGGATTGGTCCCAAACCTTCATCACTGAAAACTTCTGATTCTGGCCATATCCCTGCTCATTACTTACATGGAGGTTAATTGGTAACTATTTCAGAGGAAAACACAGAGTGATAGACATGAGAACCATACCTGTATCAAGTAGACCGATGATAACACCATTTCCCATTTTGCTTTTATTCAGAAGATTGGATGGAGAACTCGAAGAGAGTCCAAGGTAATCCCAGCTTCTGGTTGTTTGCGGCTTATAAAATCGATTGCGTGTGACATGAACCACGCCAGGTAATTCTACAACCAAAAGACAGATCTAGGAACAAAAGCTTCTAATTTATCAAGACTCAAAAGGAACGTGCTATCATTTATATATATATATATATATATATATATATATAAATCGGAATTTTGTGGAGGTATCCGCCTTTCAAGTCTAGTTTGCAGTTTAGGAGATCATTCTATTTTACTACAAATCTACTAGAAAAAGGTTGCATGCATGCATGCGCCGCCTTCTATTGTAAACTTCTAGAATAATTTATTTTGAACAATCTCGTTGTCATACAAATCTATTAGTAGGAGATTTTTTCCAAACACAAAGTGATAACGTTATTATATGAAATTTATAAATAATGGAATCGTTTATCAGATAAATAATAGTATTAGGATGGCATCTCATCTATAATATTTGAACCAATTCGATGGTAAGTCGTAAAACGAGGTGCTGGTAAAACGACTCAAGGATCCATTTGGATCTCATTTAGCCCGGTGACTTACGGTCTCACCGCAGTTATGGAGCCTTTACGTTACATGGAATCGACCCAACGGATCCATTTCCACCATGCCGCAGTTAAGGTTAATTAGTGCATCTTTTGATTTAATGGCACCCCTCAATTGTTATGGGAGATTCAGCTTAGCTGCCTTGCGCGGTAAAGATTATGCATTTGAATTTTATTGCGCAGCAAAAATAATCTCAATTGGTCACTAATCATTTTTCGTGCAGTGGCTACGGAGCAGTTCATTAATTTTTTTTTTTTATCCTTTAGCTTTTATTATAAATACAAACATATCCTTACACTTTATTTTTTTTTCTTTTGATTTCTTTATTTACAATTTTTTAAATAATTTTTTTATTTAATATAATAAAAGTATTATTATATATTTTATTATTAATTTTTATTATTTATTAACATAATTATTAATTACTATAAAATAATAAATTTTCAATTATTTATTAATTTTATAAATATTAATAATTTAAATTTATTATTATATACAAATTTTAATATAATGTTTTTAATAATTAGTTTTTTTCTCACTACAATTTATCTCATCTCTATTACTATTTTTACATCAAAGCATATATCTCACTATTAATTTTAATTTTATTATTACAATAATTAATCTTATTTTCACAATTATTTTAATTTTACGATAATTAATTTTACTGTCCATTCAAAAAAATCCTTTAGTCATTGGACCCTTACGGATCTAGTTGAAAAAGGTCACTCTTCATGGTAGCTCTATTTTTATTTTACCCCTATTTTTATTTCTTTTTTTTATTTTTTAAATTTTAATTAATTATTTATTTAAAATGATAAATAACTTAATATGATTACATAATAAACAAATAAATAAGTAAATAACAAAAATTTTACATAAATAAATAAATATTTATATATAATTAATTACATAAAATAATTTTATATATTATTAATTACATATACAAATAAATAGTTACAACATTATAAATACATAAATACATAAATAAGTCAATAAATAATTTAGTAATTATCATTAAATATATTTATTTTTTAATATAAAAAATATTAAATTTTAATTTAATATCTTCAATTATATATATTTTGTCATAACATTATTTTTTTTATCTAAACACATATCATATGAATAATATTAATTTTATTGTTATAATATTTAATTTCACTACGAAAGTAATTAACATCATTATTATCATTACTTGAATTTCATCGAAAAATTTTATGTCGAGATCTTAAATTGAGAAAAGCAAGAAAAGGTTGCAGTGCACGTACTTGAGAGTTTTTGTGCTTGAGCCTCTGTCATCTTCGCCGCAAATCCAGAGAACCCATGTTTGTAACTGTATACCATGGAATCTTTGGATGTTTCTTCGCTGATATAACGAAATTAAGGTGGTGGTGAGACAAAAAGATGACTGTACTTTCCAGAAAGAGAATAAGAGTATTAATTGTAATAGACTACGTATTTGTTTTCATGTGTCGCACCTCCCAAGAACTGTTGCAAGCATTTCGTGATGAGTTCTTGTAAGAAGCGCTACATCAGGATGCTGCCTTTTCCCCATGTAGACAATGTAAACCTGTCCAGTTTTATATGAATTATACTACTTTCTTTGGATATTATAAGCATATGGAAAGAAGAATAAAAGATGCAAAAACTGAATCAGAGAGGGATGGTATTCTCATGCCAGGATTCACTAACATTACTATTAGTATGTGCAAGAGCTGGCAACATATAATGCACGTTTAGAATCAGCACTAGGGGAACTAAAACAAACGACATAATTATCGTGCTCTTCTCATGCAGAAGCAAGCTCATTTTTTTTTAGGGTGATTTACACTTGCACAGTGAGAGAGAAATTAAGAATTAAGAAGTAGAAGAGGAGGGAAGAGATGGGTTCTCGTCCTCGGAACCAAGGCTGCTTAAATAGAGAAAAAAAAAAGACTATTCCTTGTCAGACATTGCTTTTAGAAAAGCTACTTTCTTAGAAAAAAACAAAAGTGGAAAGAATTTAAAAACAATATGCAATCGATCCGTAATTTGTTTATTTGGTGTGGTTGAGCAGTTTAGTGGTAGGGAAATAATTAATTGCATTAGCCCCCGAGTTGTTAGGCGAAAAGTTTCATTTCAATTAAACATTCCCGTCAACAAAAATAAAATTAAATGATCTATTAATTACACAAAAAATAATAATTTAATATGATTTCATTCAATCGATTTTTGTTTATAAATAAAAAAAAATTTATTAATTGTAAAAAATTATAAACATATAATAAAATTCACCACTCACAATCTTATAGAATAATCTTAATCCAAATAAATAAATACCAATATATACCAATGTATTATATTTACGTAAACTGTCTTAATTTCTTCTAATTCATTCATAAATATTAAAATCTTTACAGTCTCCTCTAATTCATATTCAAACTTTCTCAACTTCTTTTAATTCACTTATAAATATTTAAACATACATATTCACGTCAATTTTCAGTAGTCTTATATGATATCTATTCTATAAAAATTTATAATTCTCTTACATATTTTTCTTATTCATAATCTTATAGAAACTCCACCATTTATAAACATACAATTTTTTTTATTAAAATTTTTTACTACAAATTTTTTTATCTATCAAATAATATCTAATTAATTTCAAATAAATTTATTATGAGATTTAAATCACTGTACCAATGCAAGTAATGGAAAGGGTTATGAATATTAAACAACAATTTCTTTGGTAGAAGATTAGAATTAACTATGGACTTGATGCAGGTATGACTGTATAAGTGAATGCTACCACTATTGGAAGCAAATGACTGTCTTGTTTTATTTTGACAGAGAGTACTCAGTGCACCATATATTCTGTTATTTTCAGCTAGGAACAAGTCCCTATTGAAGATAAAAGTATCCACTTTCGACCCCATCCTCTGTTCTTAGTCATTACTCATTCCATAAATTATAAATGAGTTGGTCGTCTTCAATTTGTCTCTGCTGCCATCATTGGCTTCTGCAATTATTTATACTCTTTAGAGTGTTCGATCCCCCACCCCTCTTCCTTTCAAACCTGAATCGATTATTATTCCAAATTGAGCGGCGATGATCTTTTCCAAGAACCATTACACTGGAAAATTTATTTTAGTGCAGGCACGATAGGAAGTAGCCCCGACAAAAGGAACCTTCCTTCAGGCCTGAAACACATCTGTGTCGTATATTTTGTTTCTAGTGATCATTTGCAGAAAACCAGTAACACTTCTTTTCCATTTTTCAGATGCCACTTCCATCATGCAACTTCATATAATTAAGATCACTCAGTTCTCTGCTTTTGATTGGCAAGATATAACTTGAGAAACTAAACATTACACAGGTCAGAATTCATAAAAATAGGTCTTTATTTATTAGTAAGCACCGTATGTCGTTTCTTCAAGTGACATATAGGATAGAAATTGGAGGTAATATACAAGATTTTAGTTTCCCTTGATCATCTTGGACCAGAAGTTGATCCAAGGCTGCTGTTTTTTACCTTCCAATTCTATACCTCATTACTCTTTCTGGATTCCAATGTCGGGAAAAAGGACGGGGATGGATTACTTGTGTGAGTATGTGGGGTCGCCAGAATCAAAGGTCCTATCTCCATTTTCAACCACAGGAAATGTGCAAAAAGCACATGTCTATAAAGATTCAGAAACACATGGCTCCCACCAATATCTTGTGTTAGGCAGAGATGCAGAAAACGAAAACATGATATCAGTCAATGTGTTAGTATTATACCAGGAATATTCATAATAGGCAACCTTGTAAAAGCACTTAAAAAAAAGAAATATTTCTTTGCCACTATAATGTGATTGTGAAAGGACGAATTAAATCAGTTCAATAGGTTCATCCCTTTAAGAAAATCTATAGTACAAGCTTCCAACTTTCCTGAAATCAGCTGTGATTGACCTGGTTGGTGTGAGATCACTTAGTTTCCTCTAGTTGCCATATTGCAGTTCTCATCATCAGGGTGCGATCACACTGGCTCATTAAGGTTAACAATAACTAATATTCCAGAGAAGCAAGAAAGCTTGGTGCTAGTTTCTGATTGGCTACGGTGAACAACTACAGAAATCACCATTAAGGTTTCAGTTTTTGTCCGGATGTCAATCATTAACAAGACTTTTTGCTTTCTTTTTGGTTGAGAACCTGTTAGCTGACACTGATAAGAGCTTGTTAAGGGACATTCCTGTCCCTATTGTTTTCCTTTTTACTTCATACCTGTGCTTAATCCTGTCATCTAGCTTGTAAGCAAGAAATGCAGGAAAAGCCAATAACTCACTAACTTCTCGGCCCATTTCCCCTATTAAGTACTCCATCTTCTCCTCTAATGAACTAGGATTGTACTGCAGTATCTGAGGGTGCTTCTTGCTCATGGAAAAAATATCTTTACAAGAAAGTCTGTAACTCAAGAAGAGCCCAATTACCTTTTGCATATTTGCGCAACTTGTTCTGGTGACAGCCCCCAATGCCAATGCCAACTCTTTTGTTCTATATTCATACCCAATCTTCACCAAAAACCCAAGTTTATGCGCGAGGTTATCTTCAAAGGAAAGGGCCAGAATCAAGGGGGCTCTTTTCAAGAACTTGAAAATATCATTAGAATTAAGCCCACATTGCTTCAGAAACTCTATTCTAGGACGCAACTTCCTCTCTTTGCTGATACTCATCACATTTGGAAAGACGAGAATAATCTTGAATATTTCCGGGTCACTGAGACCAACATATGATCTCATGAACTCCACGTGACCCTCCATATGCTGCAAACTATAACTCAAAATGGCAGGCTGTTTCCGCAACACAGTCCCCGTGGCATTCGCATCACCTCCACTAAGCTCTTCAAGAAACTGAATTTTCGGAATCAACTGAGAATCCAAATCATAGTTGAGAATTGCTGGACGCCTAACTATTATTTCAATGCCATGATAAGGTTTCAAGAAAGTTATGGCTCTTTCAATTTCTTCAATTGATTTGCAACAAATGGCTTTGTTCAAGTTGACATTGTTGAGAACATGAGCCATCTTCTCTTGGGGAATTTCATGATGAAGAAGCAATTTAACCTTTTGATCAAAACCAAGTAAGAATCTCACTTCTGTTGTAATAAAAAGGCGTTCCAGTTGTGCTGGCTGAACCTTTCCTTCCAAATCATCACGCACAAAACTAATCACTGAATCAATTTCCTCAGCTATTAGTACCCTTGGACATTTAATAACCAACCGATAAAGAGGAAAGTCATTGATTCCAACGGACTGTAAAGCAAGAATCCGAGCATGTATTCTGTCCAAAGACGTAGATCTTAAAGTTGGGTTCTTGTCCAAAAGCAAATTGGTTTCCTTTTCATTGAGTCCAGTTTCTCTAAAAACCGAAAAGAGCATACCTGAAACAAGAATAACAAAAAGAGAAGTTTTTGCATCTATTAAAAATACTTAGAAGAGTTGCAAGTATGAGAAATGTTTGAGAAATTGCCTCAAAGAGCGAGAATTACAAACCCGTTTCACCATGAAGAAAGATAGGCGTGTCGACGCAGTTACATTGGATAGAAAAACGATTAGCCGGTTGGGTACACGTTAATGGCCTGCGTTCAGTTCCTGATGTCGAATTAACGTTTATTAGAGAGAAGCATTGGCGTGGACGGGCAGTTGGATTTGCGTACAAGGAAACTGGGGATTGTAACTTTGGTGGACTAGTTAACGCATTTGAGTTTACGAAAGCGGAAAACGAGGAGGAAAGACAAAAGGAATCTGTTAACATGGTAATCGCAGAAACCATGTTTGGATGAGCTCAATCTCACCAATCGTTAGCGCTTCGATTCTTGTCAGCTTTGCGAGTGCTTGAAATAGATTTCGGGCCTTGGTCCCTAAAAGGAAGGGAAAACGGTCCTGTTCCCTGATGGTGAGTGACGTCATTAAAACCCGTGTAAGCTGACTTTATTTTCTTCTCCCATCACAGTTCACACAATGAATCGGCAGCTTCGGCTTCCTCTAAATAATATGCAAACGATCTGAGAGTGACACGCTTTTGGGTCATGGCAATGGCCCATCGGGCCCAAATGTTTGTTCAGAATATAAGCTAACGGTAGAATACAGAGTGCTCTTTTTCAATTTATGGAAACGGTTCTAAGCATTAGGCATCATCTCACATCCCCACATCCCCACATCCAGGACTTTGCATGATTGTAGTTCCCTGGTAAAATTTAAATTTAAATTTTCATATTACTTCTCAAATAAAAAAAAAATAAATGTTATCATAGGTGGAAGAAATTGTACAAAGGTTAATAAACATATTCACACCTTCTGTTGGCAACAAGAAATCAGGGCTACACCCACAGGCTTGAAGCTTGGTGCAACTTTACCCACAGCCATAGCCCTTCGAATTCCACCTATCTATGGGGCAGGTGTAGTCAAAATTGAACCAATTGCTGGTTCAAAATGCAGAACTGACATGCAAATTGGCTATTTTGCCAGCCCACTTGATGGTTTTGTTGATGGATTTATCACGTCTTGTATTGCCTCTGAGTCTCCTTCAGGCGATTCTTTGAAAGCTTTGCTCCATTTTTCTTCCCTGTTGGGATGGCTTTTATAAGGATAACAGATTCGCTTCCCTTTCCTGATTTCCGAGGTAATCTGGAGGAAGGAAACCTGGATGATATCAAATTTAAGCACAAAGTACATCTAATAAATCAAAATGATTAAAAAAAAAAAAAGGAAGAAACTGCAATAATTTGCTAGTCTGCTTACCTCTTTCTAAGAACTTGGGTAAGATCATCAGGTATCTCATTGCAAACTTCTTCCGCTTTGTCACCTAGAGCATCCTCCCCCTTACGTAAGCAGATGAATATGTAATCAAGTTAGAATCACTTGTGTCAATAACCCGTTAATGGTAACACAATACTGAAAATAGGGGCATTTACTCCACACCATGAATGAGATCACATAGAATGTCAACACGCAATCAGGTATTGCCAATTTCACATAAACGTTTTACCTGCTATAGCTTGACCCAGATCAACATCAATAATGCAGAAAATATTGTTAACGTAAGTCCACATTTGAAAGCAAAAAAATGTTTATCAGAAGGGAACAGCACATAACAGACAACAAGAACCATATCCCAGGGATGATTCAACAGAAGAAGAATAAACTAATAAAGAGTCTCTTGCCAAAATAGAAAGCCAACAAAAAAAAAAAAAAGGAAAAAGAACCAACAGTTCAAGTGAGCAACTTAAAAGAAGGATTTAAAGAAAAAAAAGCTACTTTGACCAAGGGAGAAACTGAAGATCAAACAAAATGTTTCAAGGGAATGGGCAATAGAACTCAAAATATAACTGAAATTCAGGAAAACTGAATTCATACAATACAACATCCAAGCAAAATATGATTTTTAAAGTTGAGTGAAAAAACCAATAATTTTTAGCCTCTAGATCTCTAGAAGCGAAATTCCTAACTAGATTTGCATGTCAAAACCACGCATGTAGAGCAACAGGCATAACTAGCTCATATTTTATTCGAAAGCATATTCGAAATTTGAAGGAAGAGTGATCCCAAATCACAGAAGCTTTATAACATGTAGCTAAGTAACCATGCTGCTATTGGTGACTTTCAGTGTACAGAAAACAAAAAATGCATGTTTTATCTCTGTTGTCATTTCACAAAACCAAAATTAAATCATTTGCACCTTAGAAAATCTAAATCTTCCAGTCACTTTGTGCACCATAAGTTTTATTAATATCCTGTATAGGCAGCTATGTTCCGATCATAGTCATCGAACATTGAACTGTACAATACCGCCATAAAATCTTAAAAAATAATGCTTGAAGAGCATTAAACAAATAAATTTATCAGATTAAAGGTCAGTTGCTGAAACATAAAACCTGAATCTCATTCTCTTAAGCAGAAAAAATTGCATCAAGAACAGCTAAAAGGCAACAGTATTATGATAGCCTATCACTCTGGACAGAATTACAAAAGGAGTATATCATATCAAGCCCAAGGTTCTCAATTTAAAAAGGTTACATGTTAACATAAAAGAAGCTAAAAGTAATATATTCAATGTTTTGAACAGCTTAAAACAACATTTACACAGACATAACTGAAATCAAACCCAGAAAGGTACACCAGAATTGAATTCAATAGTGTGCAATCATATCATCATTACCATCTAAGTAAAAGTATATCATGACTTTGTCAGTCATTAATTTACATAAACAATTCCATTTCACATATCCAAAGCCAACAAAAAGTAGAAAAAACAACAAAGAACATCTAGTTATACATGCAATACCGAAGCCTTAAATCAAAAACTAAAAACAGAATCTTACTACTAGACTCTTGAAAGGCTTAATGTATACAAATCAAGTATTCAAATCTGAATGCCAAGTTAAGAGGTACATAAAAAACAGTCATTAATTTGAAAAGAATTATTATAAAGGATATTTAGGACATGTAACCTTAAATCTTACATGATTTTTAGCCGACCCACATTCTTTTCCACTCGTTGCCTTCAATGACAGGAGCTCCGAACTCGAAATCTTTCGTTTCTTATTACAAAAACCAACATTATTGTCGTCGGATAGAGGAGGAGGTGGTTTACTCTTCTTTCTACCAACGGTGCATGACTTTCCTTTCTTGTCCTTAACTTTCCAGATTTTTTGCCTCCTAAAGATAAGCTTGTCGACTTTCCACACCTCGCAGCTCGTGTCTATTACCGTCACTTCACTTCTCGAGTACCCTACCAGTTCCCTCTCTCCTTTCACTTTCTCTTCTTCTTCCACGTTATTATTTTCGTCCTCGTCTTTCGATTCTCTCTTCTCTTCTTCGCTTGATTTCAACGACGTCGTTAAAGAGGGGATATTATCTTCTTTTCTCACGTTGTCCGAACGGCTTTTCTGCTTGTCGGTAGAATTAACTTTGGGAGTCTTGATAATACAAATTCTAGGGTTTGTTTGTTTCCTGGAAGCTTTTTTCCTGGAAAATCTGGAGGTTTGGGCTTGTTCGCCCATGTTGAAGAGCTCCGAAAGGACATTGCTCATTATACCCAACCATTCTTTGTCTTCGGCGGGCTCGCTGGAGATCACCTGCGGAGGTGGTGGCTTCCGATTCTGGACTAGTTTATCATTGGAGTGAGTTGACTCGGAGTTGGAGTTTAGAGAATTGGAAGCACTGGTGATTGGAGAATCGGAAGGGATAGGGTTAGTGAGGAAATGGTCGAGGTCAAGGTTTTCGACGGTCGGGAAGCCCTTACTGGAACGAAGCCGGTCCAGCCAGTTCGAACCGGACTTGCCGGTCGAGATTGAGCAGAGCATTTGGGGACCTCAGGCTGAGCTGATTTGAAAAAACTGCTGGGAAAGCGACAAGAGGGAAAACAAAATGGAACACAAAAAAAAAAAAAGGCTCTTCGATTAACTCATACAGAAACGGAGCGGCCATCGTACCGTAGTTGAAGAAGGAGGAAGTTCTAGATTACACGAAGGTGCGGTGCGCGCACAGTACGCTCGTCGCCACGTGTCGCTTCATGAACCCACCTTTATGAAAAAAAAGGTCGAATTAACCTTCGACCCGTGATTCACGTTTACGATAAACAAAGGCCTGGGCTTGTTTACTAGATTATTGGGTCCTTGTCATAGCCCAATTTGTAAGCGACCTCACTTTGGAGCCGAAGCCCGACGATGATGAAACTTTCTAAAAGTCAAAACCCGTGGAACGTATCGGAAAAAGTGTTGATGGATTGAGTCAGACTAGACTAATATTTTGCCATATATTATTCACCTGCTCATTTAAGCATGATATATTAAAATATTAAAAAAATATTTTAAAATATATTCTTAAATTAAAATTAAATAAAAAATTTTATGTAATAAAATAATATTTCAAATTGGACTGGATTTGAGCTTGAAAATTACATTTTATGGTCGACACTAGTTAGGCCAGGCACATGAACAAGTTTACAAGAAAGTCAGATTATTTATCCTCTTTATAAATAAGAAGAGAGGAACAATAAAAAGATTAAATATAAAGTACAAAGTGTAGGATTCCAAGGTCTAAAGAAAATTTGTACTTTTTTTTTTTTTATCTTGATCTTCCTATTTCTCCTTTAGTTTAGTTATAGTAATGTATTTGAAAGTCCACAAGAACATTTTTATGCTTTCATTTTGGTCCATCAATAATTACTACTTTTTACATGATATATTCCATAAGGAAAACTAGTGATATTGAACATTGGTAACAAAATTATAAAAAATGCAAGTAAAACAAATTTCCTGTCTTCACTAACTTCCAAAGCATCAGTAGAAATTTTATTACAAATAAATACTTTGTGTATTGAAAAAAAATAATTATTGTATAAATCAAACTTTTATATGCTATAATATGTAACATTAACTTGTAAAAAAAAATACTTGACATTAGCATAATACTAAAATCTATAAATATTAAATTTAAAATTCAATTTAATTAATGATTTAAATATAATACTATGTACAAATAATTAATATCCGCATCATCGAACATATCACACAATGAAAACCAGCTAAAAACCAAGTCCAACGTTAGGCAACGTGAAAAGCAAGACACACTCCTGCCAATAAAAATTGCAAAGGAAGTACAAAAACAATAGAAATTAATTAATTAATTAAAGAGAAACGGAATTTCATTATTTGATAGTCTGTTCCATCCCCACCATTAAAATTCTCTTTTTCTTAAACATAAAGAGAAGGGAGGAGGCAATCTACGTTCATTCTCCACCAATCTCATTTACGGCCAATACTTTCTATCCCCCTATCACATGTTTTAGCCCTTTAATTTCGTCTCGAGACAAAGCGAAGGGCAAAGTCATCTCTGTCTTCTCTCCTCCATCAAAAACCCAAGCTCTCCTTTAAAAACGACATCGTCCACACTCTCTCACGTCAATATCGTAAACTGCTTCTTTCAAGTTCAATCGCTCATCTTCTTAACAAACTCAAACCGTAAAATCTCTGTCTTCTTCCTCCCTTTGCCGCCATATCTATACTTGTGATTATTCTTCTTTCTATCCCTTATTACCCCATACTTTCTTCTCCTTTGATTGTGGTTGTAATTTGTTTGACTACGGATTGATCCTTCAATCTTTATACTAATCTTTAACCGGGCTATTAATATTGTTGGAGGAATGTTTACAGAGATGATTTTATACTTGGGTCCTTTATGGATAGCGTTTTTTGTAGGAATAATACTTGGTTGGGCTTGGAAGCCGAAATGGGCGAGCCAGGGAACTCCGAAATTGAGTTGTGCTTTATCGAAATCATTGGAATTATCGTTGCCATCATCGCCTTCTAAGTCGCCTATTTCCCCTTTGAAAAGTTTTGGTTCGGCTCCATGTTTGAGCTCCTTGAAAATGCAGTCACAAACTTCTGAATCTTGGGTCATTAATGATGGAGCCCATCGGAAGCAGCCCTCTGTTTCTCTTTCTGAATATGACAATTGCAGGTACTTGCAATTGTTTTTTTTTTTTTTTTTTTGGTTCATACTCACAATCCGGCAAGAATTTAGTTGTTTATTCTTCAAAGTTTTCAATTTTATGCTGGAACTTGATGTTTCTTTGATTAGGCAAAGTCAATTGGAGATATTTAATGAAAAAGTATGGATTGGAGGAGCAAGTTTCTATTTTGTTGATTATACTATTTTTTTTCTAGCTCATGCTGCACATCACAGCTTAATGAAGGACGTTCAAGTGTTGTAACAGAAGAGGATTTAAAGCATTTATGGCAACTTGTTGAAATGAGGGACGGAGGTCCTACCTGGATACATATGATGGATCGTTATGCTCCCAATATGAGCTACCAAGCATGGCGGAGAGATCCAAAGGCAAGATTTGTCACCTCCATTTCTCTGATAAGTGAAGGCAACTTTTTCGTCTTTTTTTTTCAGTGTGTCTGTGACAATATTTTGGTGGAAATTTTTTCTAACTAATCTTTTTTTTTTGTCCTATTTGCATGGGTTTATTAGACTGGTCCTCCTCAGTATCGTAGCAAAACTGTCTTTGAGGATGCAACTACAAAGATGGTGAGGGACTTTTTCTGGGATGATGAGTTCCGACCAAAGTGGGATGACATGCTTGCATATTCTGCAACCATAGAAGAGTGTCCTACTACAGGGACCATGGTTGTTCATTGGATAAGAAAGGTAGACTTCCCTTTATTTCCCTAATCTGATGGTGAATAGATTGCCTTGCAATGCTTATACTAACTTTTTCTAAGTCTTTGTGGCTCAGTTTCCATTCTTTTGCAGTGACAGAGAATACATAATAGGTCGACGGATATGGGAATTGGATGGGTCTTACTACTGTGTGACAAAGGTATGAAATAGGTTTAACGTGTTTGACTTATGTGAAATGTTAAAACTAGCACCAAAACTATTTACTGGTTAGAACTCGGGCAGCAAATACTGACACGATTTTTAAGGAGGCATTTGTGGTCTGAAAGGACATAAACATCGATAACAACGAAGACTGTGAATTGTTGATAAAAATGAGCTCTTCTGAGTAGTGTAGTAGAAGATCTGTCCAGCCGCCTTTGTATGATATGACCAATGGTTTGGACAGGCATAAAATTAGGTCAAAAATCTAACAGAAATAATGCTAAAGCACTAGAAATGAAACTTGAAGGGTTGTTGATGGAAGTTATCCTTTTCTTTCTTTGCTCTATTTTTCCCCTCAAGTTGGAGCAGGTGGTTTTCTGCTAGCAAACTTTACATGTGGATCTTATTTTGGTTTTCTTTTAAATTGGCCATATTCATTTTTATGGTTTCTCATGTGATTTTCCAACTCTAATGACTTTGTTTCAGGGAGTTTCCTGTCCTTCCATCCCCCGGCGTAACAAACCTAGACGTGTGGACCTGTACTATTCAAGTTGGTACATTCAAGCGGGTATATGTTGCCTTGCTTTCAGTCGAGCTTTTATTTTGAACTTGAAATTGCACCTGAGGCTTTTGCAATCAAATTACAATGGATTATGAAATTGTGATTCGCATAATCTTTGGGGGCAAACAACTGCATAAAGTTCCTAGTATTAGTATTGAAGTCCTGGATTTGAATGACTAAAACTAAATTTTCTCATCATACATCCAGTGGAATCAAGAAGAGGTAATGGCCAACTGACTGCATGTAAGGTGCTACTCTTCCATCATGAAGATATGGGCATCCCATGGGAAATTGCGAAGCTCGGAGTACGTCAGGGAATGTGGGGAATGGTGAAGAAAATCGAGCCTTGGTTGTGTGCTTACCAAAAAGAAAGAGCATCCCTAGCTCCACTATCTGGACCTGCATCTATGGCTCAAATTAACACCAAAACAAGTACCGAGTACCTGAGATCTATGGAAAGCAATGAAGATTTGTTGAAGTCTGATGTAGCAGCTACTTCTGAAAAACCACTGGCTAAGAACATTTCAATGGTCCTAATTCTTGGTGGGATAATTATTCTTGCTTGTAGCCTCGATCATGGACTGTTGAGTAAGGCATTTATCTTTGGTATGGGTAGAAGGCTTGCAAACAGAGGAAAGAGAATACGTTAGGGTTCTGCAAGACAAAGGCTCATCTTTTTGCATGAGAGATAAGTTTCTTGATTTGGTAGAGGGTAGAAATATAATTATTTCCAATAACGGGAGAGGTTGTATATTTATGTTTACTGATATGTATAATTTGAACTTCAGATTACTAAGGTCGGAACTGGATGGCTTTACATACTCGCACCAGGAATTTTCACATGAAACCTGCTGAACCACTGGCACCTTACTTTTTATCTGTTATGCTCATCCAGTTTATTTAGGAGCAGATTATAGTCTTGTAATCTAATAGCATGGATTGATCAGCCAATATAAGATTAATTTGGATTCACAGGGATTTTTTGAAAATGCTGAAGTTGATGCTGTCTGTCATGATAATTGACCTATTCTGAAGGTTTTGCCTATATGCTCTGTGCTGTTTTATTCTGCTTGTATATTTTTTTGGTAATGACACATCTCTATTCTACCAATTCGGTCTCATTGGCAATCGCTATTTGCATTTACTTATGTCCTCCCTCTCCAATGAATTTCGTAAACCATCATGATGGGCTTGATTAGGCATTACACCATGCTTGTGTATTGAGTCTTTTTTATTTTATGTAAAATATAAAAATTATTATGTTATAATTCATGTCAATATGTTCAAAATTATTAAATCTATATAGTGTTTTTTACTAAAATTTTAAATTGTATTACTTTTATAATTTTTTATATGAAATATATATGGTTTTCGTGTGACAAATACTTAAAACAAAATTTTTCTCAGAATTGTGTGCGTCGTCCATTTTACAAGTAAAATTCCTTCCATATTTCCATGTTTCCTTTGGAGGCTAGTTTGCTTCTGTGTATTACTTGTATCTTATCTGGAAAGATAGATACAAATATCTATGAAACTAAACTGCGAAAGCTTCCAATCTGGTGCTATTTAATGCAACATGTTTTTGCTTTGCTTGGTAAATTTAGGCAAGTAATGGCTGAATGAACCAATATAAACGTTGCAATCTTTGTGGGAAATATTATCTCTAATCTGTATCCAGAAAGATGCTAAAAAAGTAAACATGAAAAGGAGCAAATATCTTGACAACAGCCATCAATCTCCTTTGTCCTCGCCACGAACCTCCAGCAGCGGGATGCAGCTAACTAAGCAGATTAGCTAACGTTAACAACCCACCAAGGTTTCGAAACAGTGCAACCCATCAAACTGTGGTGCCAACTTCGGTAGTGGTGTGGACTTCACCTTTTGATTTGGTTTTGCCAGCAAACCTCCGATGGATGACCGAATCTCACCACCAAATTCCTGAACAAGTAAATCCAATGTTGAAGCAGAAGTGAACCAAAAATTAAGAAAGAAATTAACGTTACAATCTTTACTGTGTTGGAAAAGGCAAAGGGGTGATATATTATAAGAAGGGATGATTACCTTGGCTCCTGAACGACGATCAAAAGAATAAATCCCGACCGCAGCAGCAACTACAGCTGGGATTGCTGCATAGATTGTACCCAAAGCCATTAGCGTTTTGAGAAGCAACTTAAGTTTTTAGATGATGCAGAGAAAAGATTTGGGTTTGTGATTATGATAAATAAGCTTCTTTGGAGAAAGATAAAAGCAAAGGCAAAAGGAATGTCGGTGCCTTGGTGAGGAAGAGAAGTAAAGAATGAGAGAATTGGGAATGAAAAGAAGGACGAAGGCAAAAAATAGAAAGGGTTAGAATATTACCGTTGGGCGCCAGCTTTAGTGTATTTATATAGGATTGTTGGCATCGATCCAGCCAGTGCTTTTTTCTCTTATCCAAGTAGAACTGTAGGAGAAAAGGCTGATTTTCAGTTGGATATCAAATTGTAGCTAAGATATTTAAGAGAGAGTAAACAAACTTTTTTTAGTAAAAAAAAATTAAGTTGAGAATATAAAAAAGAATTTTAAATATTGAAATTTAAATTTTAAATTATATAAATTTTTTAAAAGTAATTATAAAAATTAACTGAATTAATTTTTGGTTCAATAAATAACTTCCTTAATTTATAGAAGCTAATGGCTTAATCAGATTGAGGAATTAGTAGTGTGAAGAAAGGGAAGAAAAATGTTTGGGGCACTTTGAAGGAGGTGAGGAGGATAATCCTATCAAGGGTAGAGTTGAGCTTAGTGGAATGAAAGTAAGGCACGTTAGGTGCAGCGTGCCAACCACGTATGCCTTTCGCTTCATCATCTCCTTATCCCTCTCGCACGATGCGTTGGAAGCAACTCGCGTCATAATTATGCTCGTAAGAAATCTATAAGAAAAAAAACCTCGTAATGATTGTATTCGTTTCTAAATCTCTCTTGATTTCGCACAAATGCCAAGCATGCTTTGGTGAAAATCCATTATTGTTGTAGTAATATACTAAATACAAAGTTATCCCTACTCCATTTATATAAAAGCAAATTGTATACTAAAAATATTCATGAAATATGATGAAATTCGATAATTTTTTAAAAAATTTTATTCAATCAACTCATTTTGTCAGATTTAAGAGATCCAATTTTTAAAAAATTGAAACATTAATATTTTAACATTTTAAAATAAAAATTTGTTAATAATTTTAATATATCAAGTTAGACCATAGACAAATCAATTAGTAAGGTCATAAGTGTTCACCATTAATGAAAATGCCAGGAGTTGAGTAGTCATTAGTAACATTCAATTCCTTTCAAAAGCGAAATAGAGCAATGAAAAACGTGATACAATAAGAATGTAGTGAGTGAAAGATATAGTCATTTTCAGTTTGAACATTACTCAATGGACCTTTCAAGGTACCTTACTAGAGAAGAAAAAAAAAATCCAATTCTAAAAAAAAAAAACGTGAAAATTGTGTATGATTAATTTTGACGGTCGGCAATTCTAAACAAAATTTCCATTCGATTCTTAACCAAATCTAAACTTAAGTAATGTTAAAAATTAAATATTTCAAATTCAAATTTCATTGTCTCTTGATTTATTTTAATTCATTTCTATTTGATTTATTTATTTTTGATTTATTATATACACTAATTGAATGTGATTGCAATTTTTTTTACTAATAATTTCATTAAAAACTAATTGGATCATCGGGAACTCAATTAGGTAATTAATCCAAATTACAGCATGTGGAGAAAGTTGGATTACTTTGAAATTCGAATGAAACCTCAAAATTTTTTTAACATAATGAATAAAGATTAGTTTGTTTCTAACCATGAATATGATATTTTCGCTGAAAATTCAAGAATCATGGCGTAAAAAGAATTTATCATAACGTATTTAGTTTAGTACTCCAACTCGTAAGAAATATACAAATTAAGAAGAAGATTTACTGCCAAAAGAATTCTTATTAAAAGAAAATCGGGTGATCATATTGTAAAATGTAATGTAATTGTCTTAGTAAGGGATAATTGTCTCGAAACAGTGGACTCCGTCGAGCTCCGGCGCAAGCCTGGGCCTTAAACATTGCTGTTGTGGTTTCTTGGCCGCGGACGGCGGCGATGAATTCTTATTTGTCTCTATCTTGTTCCCATCTTCACAAGAAACTTTCTTTGGGTTTGATTCTTCAGAGGAAGTGGGAGATGCGGCAAGCTTCAGCTTCTGGGCGTGAGAATCAGCCCAAATGGCTTCGAACGAACTGAACATAGACATCATCATAGTAACCAACGGAACTAGTATATATGGAAAAATTCCCAGGTAGCTGTTTGGACTTAATTTGCAAGCTTTGAAGGATTCTAAATTTTGATGTGGAGGACTTCACGAATTACGATGCTAGAAGAGGAAGAACTAAGATGGGTATTTAAATGGAATAAAGGAAGGAGCAGAACCAGCAGCAAGATTGGATAAAGAAAACCGAGTACCAGAATGATCTGGAAGGGACGGTGAGCAGGTAATGCCTTCCAAGTTATCTGGGCGGTGGATGTTGTAGTCCGCGTTGCGACGTGGACGCCTAGGATTAAATTTGGGAGGTTTTGCGGATTAGGAGAGGAAGCGTATTAAGATTCTCTTATATGACGCGTAAGCCCAACAAAGGGTGAGTTGGAAGATGGCGTGATCGTAGTGAAGGTGACCTTCTGGAATGAGTTGGAAGTGACCCGCACCATTCAGAACTAGAACATGCGGTTACGCGTCCCTTCATTATTGTGGACTTGTGCTGATTTGCCAGTATTTCTCCAATTTATGTAAAAAAAAATCTAATCGTACTTTACCAGAAAAAGGAAAATACAATGGAATCGTCCAACTTCTAGCTTACTGTTAATGTAGTTGACAAAGCCCAAAAATTGAAAATTAAGAAAGCATCATGATAAAAATCCAACTACAATGTCCTCAACTCCGTCGTCCGACAGTTAAAAGAGCTCTTAGCATACATAAAAATGTTGATTTCGAGCTAACAAAACTTCTTCCTCTTTTTCATGGACTCTGCCCATCTTATGTACCCAAAAAAATTCCTACTATCCTAGCAATAAACAACAAAAATCAACCCACAAATTTACGGAAATCAGAGGAACACGCTATGAATTGCTCTATAATACAAAGCCACAACGACACAAATAAATGACCCAAGCTGGAACAGAGTTCACCACTATCTTCCTATCTTCCCCATCTCTGATGGTGGTGTTGCCATCAAGTATTTCTAAACAAGGAATCAATCCCACTAGATACACTCCTCTATTTACACCCTCCCTGATGCCCTCTCATCATCCAACTCCATTCCATACTCAAACAACAATGCAGACAATCAGGTAAAACAAACTTTGTCCTCGGGATGAAGAAAAAGCCAGCACATAACAATTGGGATAAAATAAAGGATGACAAATATAAATAGGAAGAGAAAAACCCAACATGAAAGTGTATAGAATTATCAAGACATGCACAAGAATGGAAACTATAAGAGCCCAAATGCCAGAGAAAGTATCAACATTAAGCTACTATAACATTAGCATTGTCCATTGGCTTTGGTAAACTGGACTACAACAGTTTACCACAAGCCTGAGTTTTGCAATTCAGTCATCATATCACCATCAAATGCAGTTGCAAATCTGATAGGGGTTCTATGAGATCTTCTTATGTTTAGATTTTCTACTATATATTTCACCATCCATTCACCACCAATCATATCTGTTCTTGCAACATTCTAATATAAAAGGTTTTCCTTAACCACTTTCACAAAGAACCTAATGACTTCAGAATTACAAACAAAGTTGGAAATTCACATAATCAACAAGGTTAGTGAAAATTCTTTAAAACATACAAAGATTTCTAAACCTAAGAAAATCACAAAAACAAACAACAAAATTGAGAGAACTAACAATTAAACCAAGCAAAATCCACCGTGTAACTTCTCCAATTTCTGAAAAGGTCAGGTCAATTAGTAAACACAATTCAACTACCGTTTCAGATAGGTCCTGGTTTTACCGCAAAAGAAAAGTAAACAAGAAGAGAAAATCCAAACAGGAAGATTGTGCCTAATCAAACAAGCTGAATCCCATGTCATCATCACTCTCTTCCCTTTCTTCTACCTTTTTCTCCTCAACAGCGGGGGCAGCAGCGGCAGCACCTCCAGCAGCTGCACCAGCGGAAGCAGCAACGGCAACAGGAGCAGCGCCACCACCGGAACCAACGTTAGTGATGAGATCATCGATGTTCTTCTTCTCAAGGAGCTTAGCGAAAAGGCTAGGCCAGTAAGATTCAACGCCCACGTTCGCTGCCTTGACTAGTGTGGCTATCTTCTCGGCCTACATAATATTTTCAAATATAAATACAAAAGGAGCGGCTAATAAGAAGGATTTAGAATAGATAGGAACAGATTGCCAAGAAGAGTGTTAACATACGGTGATTGAGATTCCATCGTCGTAGAGGATCAATGAGGCGTAAGTGCAGGCGAGTTCACTGGCGGCCATTGTACCCAAGATATTTCAAAAGTAAATCTGCAAGATCAATGTCTATATCTTAAGCAATCGATTTAACGAAATAGAAACTGAACAATGAGAGCGGATACATGGAGATGGGATAAGAGGGAAAGTACCTTGGCTCTACGGTTTGCTTTCCGTTGCTTCGTAGCAGGCGTTGAGACTTGGGAGTTTGGTGGATTCAGAAAAACTGAAAAGCTTCATATATAGGGTGAATAATCCTAATCCCAAGAGGTCTAGGGTTTTGGTTGAGAAAGTCGGCCAATGGCCATTGCTGGGCTTTTATTACGTTTCGGGCCAGCTTTTCTCTAGCCTTAAAATTTTGATGTAAGATAAAATTAAAAATAATTTATTTTTACATTAAAACAGTTGATTATCATAAGATACAACATCGAGAGGACTCGAACTAGGGTTTTCAATTTTCACTTACGGTCTGCAACTCTCTCTAAAAAGAGCAAAAAAAAAAAAAGTACAAAAATTAGCCATCCGGCAGATTTGATCCCGGGATCTCTATCTCCTCTCATCCACAACAGTAATTTCAAGGTCACATCTAATTTCCCTCCAAATCTGCAATCTCCGTTTTCCACAGCCTATCAAACAACTTCCCTTCCTTTCCTTGTGTCAAGTGTTCAACTTTTTTTTTCTTCTCTTTTCCTTCAAAGAGTGCGACAATGGTTTCCCGTTTCCAGGCGGCAACGCTGGTTGCTTCACCTTCGTTCCCGAACTCCATCGCATGGTCCGACGAGAACCTAATTGCCGTTGCATCCGGTCACCTTGTCACCATTCTGGTAAAAAAATTTTATTTGTTTTTCTATATTTGCTCGATATATGAGTTTTTACGTCGATTTTTATTCCAAAACCTAACGTTTTCAAGAGTTTTTAGTGGATATCTTTTGTCCTTTAGAAAGTTGGAATTTTAACCTGTGAATTGCCATCCTTTTTTATTTGTTTGGTTGACAAGAAATTCTAACCAAAGAAGGAAAAAGAACAAAAAAAAAACTTCATTGTATCTTTGATGTTTGCTGCAGAAACACTGCTTTTTTTTGCTAAGAATTAAGACTGACTGTAGACATTTTTTTTTCCTTTTCGAAAACTTTTCTTCCTTTATCAGAATCCTGTATTGCCCTTTGGACCTAGAGGCCTGATCACTGTTCCCAAGAGTGAACCTTACCCCATTGGGGTGGTAAAAAGAGAAGGTACGTTCCTAGTTGCAAGTTTCTAGAATTCTGACCACAGTGTGGTTCAATTTCTCCTCTGTTTTATTAGTTTTATATATCTCAAAAGTTGAGGTATTTAAATCATTGGTTTCTACAAATTTGGGTTGGATTTGACCCTTTACCTATAATTTAACTCGGTGTCTTTTCAGATCTAGCATCTGGTTGTTTGTTGCCCATTACATTAAGTCGGGATCCTCGTCCCTATGTTCGTTCAATTTCGTGGTCTAATCTTGGAATGGCTCCTAACTCTGGGTAAGTACTTGAAAGATATCATTAAATTATTCCCTTGTTTTCTGCACTGCATATCTGTATTTTGTTAATTTTTCCAATATATATAACTGTATGTAGGTGCTTGCTGGCTGTGTGCACCACAGAAGGACGTGTAAAGGTTTATCGCCCTCCCTTTTGTGATTTCTGTGCTGAGTGGATAGAGGTATGTATTCAGGGGTCAGGATAAAATTTTTTGGTCTGGGTGTAGCAAGTTGTAGATGTTGTTGTTACCCAAGAAATTTTTGAAGCCACTGAAGTGAAATAGATCCTTAAATGCTTGAGTAGTTTGTTTGAAATATAGTGATCATCAAAACAAAATCAGAAAGGATGATAAAATGTAGTTTTGTGCCAACCAGATTCTATATAAGTTGATAATGATATAAAGATGAACATGTTAAACCATAATTTGTATTTTTCTTGTTGCTTATATGCAATTATTGTTAATGACTTGCTGTTCTTCAAATTTTCTATAGGTTTTGGATATAACAGATAGGCTTTATAATTATCTTTCAAGTATTAGTTTTGAGGAAGCAGACATTCCTCCGTCAGAAATTTCTAATGTAAGTCCTTTCCTGTATTACCGAACCAAACTTGCATTAGCTTGCTACCTCTTTCCATTTACTCATACAAATCCTCTTTAGTATGTTTGTTGTTTAGTCAATCTTGACATGCTTTTGGTGTCTTCTACTAGGAGCCAGTGCCAACCCATGGTTGTGTTGATAATCCACCAGACTCTGTTTCAGGAAAGGAGCACAAGCGAAGAAGGGTGAACACGTCTGGCGTTAGGTAAGCATTTATTCCTCTTGCATATAAGCCTACAAATGAAGAAAAAATGATCCCCTGAGGCCCAAGTATGCTAGAAAAACTAAAGCAATTGCATTAATAGCACACTTTAGCTAAAAGGTTTTTACCAAAAAGAAGAAAAGGATCAAAAGGAGAAGAAGACTTGCTTGTTTGTGCTCAGACTGCAAAGAATATCAAGTAAAACCCTGAAACTGAATTTATTTCATATTCATGAGTTTTTGTGGTCATCCTAAGCTTAGCCTTTCCCAGTCTCTTGTTATTAAGGCATCTTTGTATTAATTATTAAAAAATTTAAAATGCTTAGAGTTGTTCTTTTTAATGATTGCGGTGCAGCAACTTTGACTCAGAACCTTCTAGTGACCAAATATCATGTTTTAAAAATGGCAAGGCTGTCAATGCTGGCCCCAGCCCTTCCACCGAAGTGGAGGGACAGGATCTTCACAAGGTCTGGTTTTTGTGCAAAAAAGCTTTCTTCTGCTCTCTATCTCTCTGTTTTCCAATTAGCATTCGTTTTAGTAAGTTAATCCCAATAGAGTGCTAGTAAGTTGCTCACTTTGAATTTGAAAACTAGTGTGCTTTTGGTTTAGTTTCAAATGCTTGTGAGGCCTTATCTATGCACTTTGTAAGTTAATTTTCAGGTGCTGAATACTAAATCTGGCAGGGGAAAAAGTTCACATCAGACAGTTCCCGCTATCAAATCTAAAGGAAAATCTGCCAAGAAAATACCTGAAGTTTGTAACTTACCTTTGATAACTGCAGATCAATATGCTTCACGTAATGCGATGCTATCATCACTTGTTCTTGCCTGGTCTCCACTGCTCAAGTTGTCACCTGAAATATGTCTGGCTCCTGAAAATAATTCCTCCAACTGCTTCTCTCTGCTAGCTGTTGGTGCAAAGTCTGGTAAAATTTCATTCTGGAGAATTCATGCACCGCAATACTACTCTATTGAGCAGATTAGGGCTCCTACTGCTGTGGAACTCACTGGGATCCTTCAGGCACACAATTCCTGGGTCACCACTATAAGTTGGGCCCTGCTTGGTTCTGATTCTTCAAATCCTCAAGTTTTATTAGCTACTGGGAGTACTGACGGGAGGTGAGTTATGTATGCTGTTACATTGTTTCAGCTTTTGAATAAATTAAAACTTCTACATTAATAGGTATCAGGGATGTTCATGGGTCTACATCTTTTCTACCATGCAAGTCAAATGCTACTCATGGTGTTAGGCAAATTTTTTCCACTTTTATGTGATCTTTTGTCTTATGAGTTACACAATACTTTCAATGAAGAAATGAATCAGATTTACAGAAGGTCTTTTCTTATGAACAAAAGTTGAAATTATATATAGTTAATCAATCAAGTTATCTTATCCTGCTGAAAATTCAACTCTCCTAGAGCATGCTCTTTAGAGATGAGATACAAATAGAATTATTGAATTTTTGACGTGATGCTTTCCAACTTTTAAGTAAGATAAAGTTGTTCTTATAATACCAATTGTAACCCATAAATCTGGTATGAAAAAGTAGCTACTGACAATAAAAGTTTCTGACTTCTCTTATGGATTGAACTTTGTAAATCTTATCCATTTTATCTTAAAAAGAGTCTAAAAGGTTGTTTTTTCTACTCTTATGCACTTCCTTTTTCTTCTTTTCTACAGTGTGAGGATCTGGATAGGGCATGGGGAGGAATTGTTAAAGTCATCAGAAGTTAATAATGCTCCATTTTATCTATTGAAAGAGGTAATAATGCTCCTCTTTTTCCTCTGTTGAAGGTGGTAGCCCTTACTGCTTTATTTGTTGTATCATCTTATATGTTTATCTTAGTTGGTAAAATCTATTCTGACTTGTAAATTTCTTAATAGATTATAAATATTTATGCTGTCCCAGTCTCGATGCTTTCACTTATGCCCTCTCTGTCACTTCATCAAATACTCTTGGCGGTTGGCAAAGGATCTGGAGCTTTTGAAGTGTGGATTGGAGACAAATCTGCAAAAAAATTTCATAGAGCTGGCTCATATGGTGCCCATGACCAAGTTGTAAGTTTCTGCCTTTTTGTTCATTCTATTTTTTTGCTGCATCTGACCATTGATTTATCTGTGACAAAATGTCTTCAGGTGACTGGTTTAGCCTGGGCTTTTGATGGATGTTTTTTGTACAGCTGCAGCCAGGTATAAACTTTTTCAAAGTTCTGCTGCTTCATGTTTACTATTATTCAGTTAATATCTTGTAATTTTTTTACAAAGTTCTGCTGCAACAAGGAGGTTTTGTAAGCCAAGAATGTGTTCATGTCTTGCCAGTATCTCTGTTGCCTTTTTTTATGGCAGTACATTACACACTTCTCTTGTATTCAAGTTTCACTGCCATGGAAAGTTATGCATGTTTCATTGATTATTTAATTAATTTCTTTAGGCATTTTACCAAATACTAGTCCTTAGTCATTAGATCCAAGTCTTTAGCTGGAAAAAGGTGGAAATTGCAGGTTGAAATTTTGGTACTGTAAGTTATAATTTGTCATATGCACAAATGTTATACTCTTGAGTTGCATGTTTCTTAAGTATATAAGATAAAATCTAATGCCATAAGTTGCTTTGAACTGGACAAGTTAATTACACATTTGTCTTGTTTCATTTACTTATTTATGTACTTTATGAATGATGTTAGGATAATTTTGTTCGTAGCTGGAGTTTAATTGGGAGTTCCCTTACTGAAGTGCCCATTCCCTCAAGTTTTCCTGGGCTAAGGAGCTTCAGTGATGTATGATGTCACCCTCTCTGGTCTCCCTTACATTTTTTTTCTTTTCATTTAATGAAATGTGGTGAAAATCTTTGCAGCTCCCAGATGTGTTTATCTCATGCCTTGGTCTGGTGGTATCACCTAGTAATCTTGCAGTTGCAATGGTATGATGTCATTCCTAAATCTCTCTCATTCTTGTTGCTATTCTACTTCTTTCAAATTTGTTCATGTTCATGTCCGGAAATTATTTTGGTGAAACATATGCATGTCTTCTTAAATTAAAGGTTTATAACATTCTTTATCTGTGGCATTCTTCTTATTATATTATATATCCTTTTTCTTATTTGGCTTTCTGTTGAAGAACATTGTGTAACTCGTGTGTTACCCCTAATAAGAAGGATGCTTTTGTACCACTTGTTATGACCTTCATGTATTATATGAGTATACTCTCTTCTGGTATGAACCATCACCATTATCATTATTACTTGCTTATAACTACGATGAATGGGAAATAAGAATAATTCTCCAATCCTGCCTTTCTTACATGCCAGTAACTGAATCATTTATTTATACTGAACAAAGTATTAAAAGGAAACATCCCATGCTGACTTTACTGAGTGTCATGGTGGTTAATCATGCTGCATATGTTTGAGGGGTTAAATCAATGTCAGATATGAACTTTATATTTTCTATTAATGTCTTTTTGTAAGAATGTTATGATGTAACTTCTTTTTTTACATAACATGCCTTTAAGTAATTGATCATATACAACGATGATGCTGTTTAAATTTTCATTTATAAAATGTGTACATCTTATAGATCAAAAGACTTGTTTCTGTTTGATTTTTGTAGGTTCGATGTTTTGATGTTAATCAGTTGGACCACATGTATGAAGCAAGGTTTGAAACCATTTCTCAAATCTTTTATTTTTAAGTTAATGTCAAATATTGTTGTTGTGAGAATTAGGGAATAGTTAAATATTAATACCACACAGGCTAGTGAGAGATTTGACTCTTAAGGAGCAAATATAATACTCAGGTTAAGAATCAAGTTCATCATTACATAAAGAACTTCGAAGAGTGAAGACCAAAGAATTTGCCATTGCTTAACAAAATTGGCTGCTTAACCTAAATCATTGTCCTGGCTAAGATGTTCCTGGTTGTGTCTCTCCTGGACATAGATTCTGTGGCAGTTTGGAAATTTGTCATCTTACTATCTTATTGATCTTTCATGTTGTTTGTTGATCCTTGATAATTTGTGGGCCATTGATTCTCCCAGTGTTTTAAACAAATAATTCAAATTCAAGTTTTACTAAATTTAGGCCTTCTCACTGCAGAGAGAGTATAACTAAATTTGCATGACAAAACATCATTTCAAGGGTCTAAGAGGAAAAAGGGAAACTTTCACGAATTATGTGAAAAAGAATATGAGAACACCATATTGATTATGTAAGGCATGCGCATTGAGAGTAAGAAAGAACAAATCTGTTTCAGCAGTCTTGTAACTAATGTATTAAGTAAATAGTGATGAAGCACAAAGGGCACCTTATATTAAAAAGAAATATAGACCGATAAGAATGGGACAAATAAGGAAAATGACTACTTATTTTTGTTTCATTTACCTTACATTTCTATCTTCTATAAGTTGATTTTCTTTTCATTTGTCAAGGCTTCAGAAGGCTGCTGTTGAATTTTTCTGGATTGGAGGGCAACAAAAGGACATTTTGTCAAATACTTCCCTCGGGTTTGATATTGAAGCCTTTCCTGGTTTTTCAGAGAAAGAACTTGTTTATTGGAATTCCAATATTATCTGCTCTCTAAAGCAATATGAACAGTGGGATAAGGCACTGGTTGTTTGGGATATTATAGCTGCATTATTGGCCTTCAAGGGGTCAGCACCCCATTATGTTGAACATGTCCTGGTTAAGTGGCTGTCAATGTCATTTTTGGATTTGCATATGGAACATTCTATGGAAAAGGTTCTGCTACATGTCTGTAAAAGTTTTTCTAAAGCTGCTTCTCGCCAGTTGCACCTCCTTAATATCATTGGCAGACGGGTAATACTGTCAGAGCTGAAGGCAGATGAAATAAACAGCAACTTGCTGAACTTAGGAGTAGATGAGGCCAGTTTTGCTCAAGATAGGCAATTTAATTTATGGATGGAGTTACTTTCAAGCAGTGAAAGAGAACTTCGTGAAAGGCTTGTGGGTTTTAGTTTTTCTGCTTACAGAAGTCTTACATCCAATTCAACCTCCTGTTCTTCCAAGCCTGGACATTGGTATCCTCTTGGTATAGCACAAATGGAGCAGTGGATTGCACATAATAATTGTCATGTAAGCAAGCAACTAAAAGTCATGGCAGCAGAGATTAAAACCTGCAAGAGGTGCTACTCGTCTACTTTGTCCTATGTGAAAGCAGATAATCACATCTTACTTTCATAATTGATATATAAGTAATTTTAATAGTTCTGTCTTGATAGGGAACATCTTGGTAAGGAGAATTTCTTGATTGTGTATAGGGATGCATAAGATACTCTTTCCTAAAATATTCAAAAAGAAGAATGCAATTTTGTTCTATTGCATTAATGCCATCATTTTTGTTTTACATAGCATTTGAGGGCTCTGGTCTTTCCATTCAAACTAATCAATGTTCTGTTAATTGATTAAAATTTTATGCCTGGTGCTGATGGATTTCTTGAGAGGTTAGGCTTGTCATGAATTATCAGCACGGCTGCAAAAGTTAAATGCTATTTTCTGTTATGCCTAATTCTTATTCTTTTTCTTCTCAAACAGCAGGAACTACTGCATTGAACTGGAAGCAGAAGAGCAATGTAGCTATTGTTCAGCACCGGTTCCTTTTGATTCCCCAGAATTTGCCGTTTGCAAGGGTTTGAAGAGCAATGGTGGATTTGAGCAGAAGCATAAATTAGCAAGGTGTGCTGTTTCTATGCAGGTTTGCCCTACAACTCCCTTATGGCTTTGCAAGTGTTGTCAAAGATGGACTGCCAACCTTGCACCGGAGACTCTTTTTATGATGCCTAAATATTCTCTAGATTTTAGTTTGTCACCCGAGTCTTCTCTTGTAAAAGTAGCCTCCAAACCACTATGTCCCTTTTGCGGGATATTGCTACAGAGATTCCAACCAGAATTTCTTCTCTCTGCACTGCCAGTGTAATCTTCACCCCTAACACTATGTATATTGTTTGTTAAAAAAGTTTTTAATTATTACTAGTATTGACTTTCATTTATTTTTCTTAAATAGATGAAAGGAAGGATGTCATAAGTGATAGAAAATAATGAGTTTTTGCTTGGGACTTCTCTAACTTATAATTAAGCGAAGGCTATTAAATTTTTATCAGCATCTAATCATTTGTGTAGTTATGTCGTATTTGTTTTATATGAAACATGAATAAAATATAAAAATTATCATATTATAATTATTGTTAATAAGTTAAATATAAAATGTGTTTTTTTATTTTGTTAAACTAATGCATGATAATTTTTTTGTTGTATTATTATGCCGTATTTAAAATTATTAGACAAAAAAATTTATCAGAAATCGAAGATCAAGTTTGCTTGTCACCAGTTTAGCCTGGATTGATTAATACCAGATACAAAACAGAAACAATCCCCTCTGAGCGAAGCTTTTGCGTTGGAATCATTAATCAACTACCCACCATAATTTATGTCTATGGAATGTAGTGTGGACCCAATTTAAAAAACGAAAACATAATATATCAAACTCACCATCGTGAAGTTTGTCTAAAACATAGCTTTTAACTCCCCACCTTGAACAATTTTTTATTCGTCTTCGCTTTAACCCAAAAGAAACTGTTTTTCTATAAGGAAAATTTTGGGTTTTTGTTTTGAGACTCAAAAATCGTGAGGAAAATAAGAAATGATTGGGTTTGGAGGAAGGTGGACATTTATCGAGTATCTTGAAAGTTGAACCCTCTTCAAAAGATTCTGGGTGCCATGCAAGACGGGTCAGTTGAATTTCGTTCAACAGTTATCAATAATCCATGTTCAATTTCAACATTCAAACAGAAAAGTTTATTGTGGCTTTTGAATGGAAACGATTGTGCATTGACTTCTAATATATTTTGCAGAATTTGCCCTGAGAAAGAAAATTTTCAGAATTTTGTAAACGCTTTTTCACGTTTTAATTAACGCTCAACCACTGGAAGATGAGTGTACCCCATTGTGAATTTGTTTATTGCAGAACATGTTTCTTTCATACTGTTTTTGTTTGGACAATAAAACGATTATGACATTTAGAAACCATGGTCCACGCAAAGCCTAAATAAGCACGTTTTTCTTGAGAGTTGAAACCTCTGAAAAGTTTGCTGAGATGCTGATTTTTCACTAAAAACAGCCACAAAATCCAAAATGGAGGCTAAATTTTGTCCCAGTGCTAGGGAGTCATAATAAGTACATCCATGAAATATGTGGAAATTGTGCTATGGACCGAGCAAAAGGTCATGTTTGGTTGGATGGCATTGAGATTTCATTCCAACTATTTTTCTTATATATATATATATATATTGTTTGGTTTATCTTTTAGCAAAAAATAGCATTCAAGAAATGTCAATTTCTTAAAAATAAGGAATAGCAATTCTTTATTTTTTTTTAAGAATTGTAACTCTTATCCCATCAAGAGTTGAGAATATTAATTTTTGGATAATTTTATTCTTATATATTTAATTAATTCTAATTTTATCCTTATATATTTAATTAATTCTAATTATTATGATTAATTAATATTTTTTTATTTTACTTAATAAAAGAATATTAATTATAACATTTAATTTAAACAATTAATTACTATTACTTCAATATAATTAAATAATAGTAAATACTAAAATATTGTTAAATTAATATTTCATATTATTAATATTAAAATATTATTAAATTAAAACTTATTATTAAAATAATATACTATATTAAAATCTTATTAAATTACATATTTAATATTAAAAATAATATTTTAATATTTCATATATTATATTATTTTCGTGATATTTCAATATTTAATAATTAATTTTATAAAATATATTAAATGGAAATAATATTTAATAATATTTTCTAATTTTATAATATTATTTTTAATATTAAATATATTAAATGAAAACTAATATTTTTTAAATATTATTCAATACTAATATACTATTAAATTAATATTTAATATTCAAATATTATTAAAATATTAGCTAAAATATTATATATTAAAATATTCTGAATTTAATATTTAATAAGAAAATAATATTTAGTATATTAATATTTAATCTTATTACAAAAAGCATGAATTTAATATATAATATTAAATTATTATTAAAAAAATTATATAAATTATTATTAAATTTATATTTCAAATAAAAAATTATTAAAATAACATACTATATTAGAATATTATTAAATTAAATATTTAAGTTGAAAATTAATATAATATTTTAAATTAATATTAAATTAAATTGAATATTAACAAAATATTAAAATAATATTAAGTATTTAAATATTATTAAATAAAATTTTATATTATTAAATATTCAAATATTATTAAATTAATATTGAATGTTAACATATTTTAAAGATAATATTAAATATTCAAATATTATTAAATAAAATTTTAAAATATTAAATATTTAAATATTGTTAAATTAATATTGAATATTGCACAAAATTAAAATAATATTAAATATGGAAAATATTATTAAATTAAAATTTTTTATTATTAAATATTTAAATATTATTAAATTAATAATTATATAATATAATATATGAAAATATTTTTAATTAAGATAAAATTTAAAATATTTATAAAATGATATTAATACTAAAATATTATTTAATTAATGGTTAATATTAAAATAATATGAAAATAGTATTCAAATTATATTAAAATAATAATAAATACTATTAAACTAATATTTAATATTATTAGTTTAATATAAAATATTATTAAATAATGTTAAAAATTATTGAATTTTTTTAATATTTTAAAAAAATATTTAATAATATTAAATTAATATTGAATGTTATTAACTTAACATTTAATATTATAGAATTAATATTATTTAAATTTTAATATTTAATATTATAATTTAATATTAATATTTAATTTTTAAATTAAATCATTATGAATTTTTATTCATTTTTATTAATTTATAATTTTATAATAAATTATAAGGGTAAAATGTTTTTGGAACTTATTCCTTTCATATTATTTGAACTAACCAAACATATTAATACTAATTTTTTCTCTATTCAATTTGAGTGAACCAAACTTAATAATATATATTTTATTTAATTCCACTTATTTTTTATTCTAATAGAATATCAATTTCAATCCTCTTTTCTTTCATTCCATGAATCAAACGAGCCATAAAGGTAGAAAAAGCTTCTGAATTATAATTAAAAAATTAGTTAAATTTTAATTTTTTATTACAATCAATCAATCTCTTCAACGTTTATTTATATCTAATTAAATTCTTATTTTAATGAAAAAATTAACACCATTAATTTTTTTTACCAATTAAAATATAATTTTATGTAATATTAAAATATAATTTTATGCAATATTAATAAATAAATAAAAATTTGCCATATAATGTAATGAATACATGTAAAAATTAAATAAAATAATTTCTTTTTTTTTTCTCTATTTTTTTGTTCATTTCTTTTTAAATTTCCTATAAAGATTTAATTGACTGTATTTTGAGGATTAATTTATTAAATTTTATGATGTGACTAGATTTCATTCATTTAAAATTTATTTGAATCAAAATAAAAATAAAAAATTTAATTAATTGTAATAAAATATTAAAAATTTAAATAATTATCAAATTATAGTTTAAAGACAATTTTATCTTTAACCTTTATAAGACTAAATGATGATTGTTGAGATCTTATCTCGAGACTCAATGGTAGGTGTGTCTCTTTATTTTAAAAAGGATATACTATCTCACCACTTCAAAACTGAGTCAAGGCTCGAGTTAATTTGTATTGACATGCTGCTTCATTGCTGATGCTTCTTTCTTCTTCTTCATTTATTTGAGCTGATCAGGCCGGCCTGTCTGATAATGTTTTCCATCGCAGAGTTAGGAACCAAGCCAGGGACCAGGGTTTCAGTGCCACAACCAGGGACCGGGGTTTCAGTGCCACAGTTGGACTTTAAGACAAGATAGTTCTGACAACTATGAAAAAGCTTGACGTTACATTTTTGTGGCTGACATATCACTGTATTTTAATATTTTTGTTCTTTTCCATATAAATTCCAAAAAAAAAAAGAGAAAAGGAAAAAAAACTGTGCCTCTTCTGTGTCTTTTGTTCATTCTAGGCAAAATGTAGGAAGTAGGAACTATTAACCTTGTTTGATTCTAATTCATTTCCTACTTTGATATAAGCGTGGGTTTTCTTAGAAACAACTGTGTATTAAAATGAGAAAAATTAGCAAATTTTGTGACATGAAAAATTGAAAAACCAAATCAAAGGATCAGGAGTTGGGATAAAGTCATAAAAAATAAACACTGTACACTTATTGACGCACTGTATCTCGACGAGAAAACAGGCAATCAAAGTCGTTTTCATGTTTCCTGACTCCCGTCGAAGTATTGGGTTGTTATTTGAGTGGCAACGGCAGACCATTTCCCTGAGTTTAGGGTACTTAAGCCCTACGGTGGTCCTACTCAATATCAATGACTGAAACACAGTTTCCATTGATCTGTGTGCCATTTCCCCACATCCTGTTTCCATTGCCAATTTACAGTTTTATAAAGTGGTCCAAAGTATTTACTAATTAAATCACAAAATCTTTGTTTTAAACCGCCAATAATGTTAGAAAATGAGTATTCTTAATGCAGTGAATAACACTATTGATACAAAAATTATTAGACTATGCCTGTTATAAAATGAAAGATCAAAGATATGCTGCCTTTACTGTTTTGTCTTTTGAAAAAAGACAAAAAAAGATGTTTTGATAAAGTAAGAGTGGTTCCAGAGTTCAATAATTCTTGCTTTAACATTATTAATATGCGGTATCAACAAAAATTATTCCTATTAATATTTTATCATTACGTATTTGTCTCGCAATTCAAGATAATAATGTATTGATTTTATTTTATTACTTCATTCATGAATGAACTAATTTACTCGTAAAACTATCTTATCAACATATCATATCATAAAGTACAAAAATGTTTGTGACAAAATGATAAGACAAGTAACATGGCTCATACAAAATTTACATAAAAATTTGTAAGATAAGATGTAGTTCATAAAATTTATTATTAAAAATGAAGAAATAAAAATTTTAAATTAATAAATTAATAAAATTTAATATGAAAATTAATATTATGTAAAAACTTATTAAAAATATTATTTATAATTTAAATTTTATTAATATTTTTA